TTAAATTTTCAAGTTTTTTGACTAATCGAAAAATTTCCTATCAAGGATAATTTTAGTAAATGTCCTTCCATATATATATATATATCAAACCATATACTACACAATATATATTTTAACTTAAAAACTATTCATGACAAAGCTAAATGTTCCTATAAAAAATTGTATAACTGTCTATTCACTCATTCAAATCTTTTCTTCAAGAACTTATCATCTCTCATAATCCCAGCTAGCCCCTCAAAGCGACTAAAACGTAAATGGCGCAGAGATTTATTAAATTAAAAAAAAAAATGATTAAATCAAATTGTCAAAAGTGTCATCAGTGGATGGCTTCCTTCCCCAAATTAGTAATTCATGTTTCCTCTCTTACCTATTTACCATGTTATGTAATATAGATTGTATATTTTCTTCTAAAAAAATCGACAATAATTATTTAAAAAAACTATTTTTTTTTTTATATATTGCTCATGCCTGTAAATAACTCAAAAAGATTCAGAATATTATGAAAATTATATCTGGGAATAGATGTCATAATTTATCATTACTACTTATCATCTTTTGCAAATAAATTTGTGGAGTATACTCTCATTAATATATCCATCTCTCTCGCATTTTTTTACGTGTTTAGATTATAATGATTTAATATTTCTATAGATACGTATGTGGTACGTGGAATATAACAATACCAAGTCTATTATACAGTTTAATTGCATTTAATTAACTCAATTAAATCTTAACGCTAACTATTCGAACATTTCAATATTTTAATATTTAATTTCTAATACATTCATATATACCTAATCTTCTGTTGCAATTGTCCGATGATAATTATCATATTTAGATTTTTTTAACTTTCCATCATCTGTGATAGAGATRAGGGAGTAAAAAACCAACTTAGGCCCAGCGCGTAGAGCGCAAGATCTCGGGGAGCGTTCCAGCAACCGTTTTCCTCGAGGTAGCAAAATGTGTACAGTACATCGCGATGTGCCGTTCCGTCACCACGTGAGCGCGATATTATATTTTTAATACGAATCGTTCTTGGGACCGAACMAACACGACGTAAAATAAATCATAAGAATTTTTACATTTTGTAATCACCCCTTCCCCAACGTAAAATAAAATATTATTACGCTGACTGTGTATAAATGTATAATATGTATATTATGTGTTTTCAATTTTAATATATTAGACAACATTTTGATCACTCAATAATATTTCTATACTCCAAAATTATTTTCACTGTCGGGATAGTTAATACAACGCGTAATACGTACGATAATATACGACTTATATTTCGAAAAGTAATACATTGTATTTATTCCGCATACGATTTATTGTCTTCGATTCCCTCGAATCCTAATCGGGGCCAAACTTAATAATATACGTATTTTATTGGATATGACACTTCTCACGGGACACATTACTATACTGTAATAAGGTAAGAACATACAATTAATGCAATATGATATTTGAGTACTTATTTCAAAATAATAAAATAATATTACTGCGATCAAGTTCACATATTGTTAGGCATATTATGACCGTTATTGTTTCGGACGATTTTCAGTATTCATGGATTTATTGTTTACACGATAATTTTACGTAAAAAAAACGTTAATATTGAATACATTTCAAACCTTAAATTGTCTACATAAAAATAATTTTTGAAATTACTCGATAATATTATTGTGTTTTTATTACATATAATATGAGAAAACATTTTTATTATTTACTATACTTTATTTGTTCAAATTTATGTATAGACAATTATAGGTACCTATAAATATAAAACACCTTATGAAATAAATATATTTTCTGGACAATTGTTAAAAATATATTTTAACCATTTCCAAAACTTTTTTTTAATCTAATTTGATTGTTGTATTAATGTTATTATTTTATCAATTAGTTTATCAATTATAAATGTATATGCGATATGATATGATATAATGATATATATATATGATATAGCTAGGTAGGTACTATTATATTATATTGAATTGGATTACAATAATTTGTTGTAAAATAACTATAAAAATAATATTTTTTTTGTTTTTTTAAGTTAATAAATCATACATTTTTGTGGTAGAATAAAGCAAAATAAATAACTACCTATATCAAAAACAAAAATAAATTGTGATTTCATTACTGAATCTTACTATTATGCGTTGTTATTGAATCAAAGTAAACAAACACTGATTGTTTAGATAATGTCTTATTAATTTTTCAACGATATATTATAGCCACTAATATTGTACATGCAGCACAATACGTAGACAATAATCTCATTGGCAAAGATCGTGAAAATTACAAAAGCGTTGGAGTAGGTTATGTATTTTTTGTAGCTTCCTATGTTGTCAAATCTTACTATTGAATAAAAATCACCTATGCTCTATTGTAATATT